TATTAACCATAATTTGCTTCTTGCAAAGCTGTCAGCGTACGGTGTAACTGAAGACGGCCTACAACTTCTACGTTCTTACTTGACTGACAACATGTCAAGATAGACGCTAACCTGTCAGATTGGCAAATTATGAAGTATGGAGTTCCTCAAGGTTCGATCTTGGGCCCACTTCTCTTCAATATATACAAGAATGATGCGAATTTTTCAGATATTTCGTGCTCCTTAAGATTCTATGCCGATGACACTACGGGGTACTCTTCAAGCCCTTGTCCATCCACCTTGCAAATAAATCTACAAAACAACCTTGGTCTACTCGTTTCCTGGTTTTGTTAGAACTTCCTGGCGATTAACCATAGTAAATCTCAATCCATCGTCTCCAATAGAGCAACTCTACCAACGCCCTTTGTTACTGATAGCAATGAACTGGATTACGTTCCACAGATCAAGCTCCTTGGTGTAATTATCGACAATTCACTCTCTTTGAAGCACATATTAAAGAAATTTGCCGGAAAGTGAACACAAAAGTTTCAATTCTTCGTCGCATTCGTAAAATTATACCCTCAGATATTATGATTAAACTGTACAAAGCATTTATTCTGCCTCACTTTGAATACGCATTACCATTGTTCATAGGTCTAAGTAAAGGTTTGTCTGCAAAACTAGAGTCAACCAACGCATTTGCTCTTAGGACTCTTCTTAACTACTCTAAATCGACTGCTTATGAAGAGCTACTTAAAACTGTACATATCAAAAGCTTGGAACATCGACGCATAGAACAAGCACTGATACTCGTATACAATAGCATTTATAACCAGGCACCGAACTACATTCGGGAAATGTTTTTACTGCGAAGCAATGGTTACAACCTACGGGGTCATCTTAAGGTTGTTCTTCCAAGACCGACCTCATCTTATATGCAACATTCTTTCACGTACCAGGCTGGCAAACAATGGAACAATCTACCAGACAAAATAAGGATGTCGGAGTCCCTCTCTATCTTTAGGAAAAACTTACAAAACATACAGTTGTCTTCATCGTATGACTGCAACTGTGTATTTTGTAAATAGACAATCTGATTACCAATATTTTCTCTTTTTAAATTATTATTTTTTAGTTGATTTAATTTCTCTATTTCTTATTTTTATTTATCACTTGTACATGTAGATTATGTAAATTATCACGTTGTAATTTTTATGGCACATTTGCATTTAAACGAGCTATCGCTCATATGCGATGTATGGTTAAATAAAATTACTTACTTACTTACTTACTTACTTACTTACTTACTTACTTACTTACTTACTTACTTACTTACTTACTTACTTACTTACTTACTTACTTACTTACTTAACTTACTTACTTACTTACTTACTTACTTACTTACTTACTTAACGAAACCCTCAAGACCCTTTAATCTCGCTCCCGAATCCCGAGCTGATCAAATAAGAAAAATCCCGGATCCCAAACTTCAAATAAGCGAAATCCCGAATCCGGACTTTCAAATATGGGAAATCCCGGATCGCAAAAAATCTATCGGGGACCCTCAACTAGGGAAAATCAGTCTTGGAATTGGAGAAATGAAGTAAGGGTAACACTTTCTCGATAAATAGGGAAATTGAGTGAGGTATCCTCTGTTCATGGCTAATTCATTTACCTCTACAAAGTAAATGCGCTAACACTTTCCTTCATTTTAGTTTTTGAACACGTGATAAGCCACGTGACCAACATTACACGTACGGCAGAATAAGACCTTGATAGTTCATTAAGGGAAAATTTCGTCTTGATTTAGGCTATTGCAAAGAATTATTCGGGACACTCTTTTAAGCCAGGCGTTCGTTTTTCTGGTTTTGCCACTCAAAATGTCAAAGTTGGGTTGGTCAGATTTCCTCTTTGCCTCTCTCTCCGCCGCGCAGGGATCAGGAGTAAAGCGAACTTTTCTTTGTGTAAAACAATAGAGTTATTAGAAACGTTTTTAACTTGTGCACCAAACGGGTGGTGGATGCATGCCGCAGAGGGTTACACTTTGAGCTACTTTCAATTTTGTCACCAGAGCCTCCGAATCTTATGGCTGCGCAATAGAGTAAAGCTCTGAGGGAGAGAATGATTACTCTGGTAAAATGACAGGAAAACATGGCAATACTGTGAAAGATCGTGACACAAAAGGTGCTCGCTTTAGAGACGTGATGATTAACAGACGGAAGGTTCAAGCGCAAACTTAGGTCGAGGGGGGGAAATTGATGCAAATAACCTGAATAAGACAGGGATATCTTTTTTCCAATTCTCAAATTTACCCCTCAGCGTATTTTTTAAGGGCGAGGTATAGGGGGTAGGCGGAATTGCGGGAAAGAGTTTAAGCGTTCACTGGTTTGCCTTGCACCTCATACTGTTCAGTTTGTTTAGTTAACACGTATTTCTTGCTATCTCCTCATGCCACTGATTGTATAGAGGGAACTCAATGTTATTGCTTTTCCTCGCTTTGAAAATTCTTGGTAACGATTGAATCGTATATACTGAGCTGTACTTTAAGTTGTTACTGCCAGTTGTGGATTCTTCCCGCGGGGGTTACTCGGGTTCATTTTTCCTGGATGTGTGCCGCTGGCCTCTCGGAGATCCTATCCGATTTTAGTAAAATCCAACAAGTGGTATATTATCAACGCTGCGTTCTGAGTGGTTGAGCTATATGTTATAGCCCACGAGTAGCGAAAAGCGCCGGCTTTTTGGCGGCAAAAAAGGATTAAAGTCTAGCTTTAAGTAACTAAAATTATTTTGTTCTCGATATTTTTGACGAACTAGTTGGATTTTACTATTCAGCAATTATTCCTCGAGCCCGAAGTCAATAGCCCATTCCGCCTTCGGCCTCACGGGCTACTGACTCGGAGCCCATCCGGGCTCGAGGAATAATTGTTAAATAGTCTATTCTGTGGCCGAATAGAGACGCCTTCTTAGTGACTTTTGGGAAATTGTAATTTCCGCCATCTCAACTTAGTAACTTTCTGTTTATGCATCCACCTTATAAAGCCTTTTAACTAGGTCATCCTGAAAGGAATTGACACATGTTTACTTAATGAAGCAAAACTCTTTTTAAATCCGTACCTACTTGAATTTTCTAATTCCCCAAATCCCGAAAACATGCCATCTCATTCTGAGTAACTCTAACGAAAATGCAACCCTATTAAAATGCGTCCACATTAACCTGTTACTAAAAAGTAGCCCCCGGGGATTGTTCCTGTATAATAAAAAGCTCTCGACAGAAAAGGACAGTACTGAAAAGGGTCATGACAGCTCAGATTAAAATTTTCATACGAAACTACATAAATTAACATTTTGATAGTCTCGCCGTTTTTTCGTGTTAAGAAAATAAAGGAAACATCTTTCTCATCATCGTGAAACTCGCCAGATCCAACTGAAAACGAGAGGAGCACTGAAAGAAGAGTTAGCTCAAAATGTTGCGCTTGTTTATTCCCTTGTTTCTTGTTCTGATCTTGCGTTCCTTCGCAAGCCAGAAAAACTCTGTACGCAACGTAAACTTATAAGTTTGGCATTTTTTTAGTTCGGTCTTTGTATGAATTTATTTTGTCTANGAAAAGGGTCATGACAGCTCAGATTAAAATTTTCATACGAAACTACATAAATTAACATTTTGATAGTCTCGCCGTTTTTTCGTGTTAAGAAAATAAAGGAAACATCTTTCTCATCATCGTGAAACTCGCCAGATCCAACTGAAAACGAGAGGAGCACTGAAAGAAGAGTTAGCTCAAAATGTTGCGCTTGTTTATTCCCTTGTTTCTTGTTCTGATCTTGCGTTCCTTCGCAAGCCAGAAAAACTCTGTACGCAACGTAAACTTATAAGTTTGGCATTTTTTTAGTTCGGTCTTTGTATGAATTTATTTTGTCTAATGTAAAAAGTAAGACACCATGACTGCTACTTTAACCGATAGAATTCACTATTAATACCTCGCGGACTTCCTCTTGTTTAGGTATCAAATCAAAACCATTGCTGCAACTGTCGCGACGGTAAGCTAAAGACTTTGAATGAATCCTGATTCTTGTCTGTTCATGTTGTTTCTAATATAATTTCTCATTTTTTGCCTAGGAAGGGATGGACGAGATGGTCAGAACGGTAAGATAAGACATCGCACATATCAGTATAACTGCCAAGTTTTCACTAAGGGGCACAATGTTAGCTGATGATTCAAGGCCCAGATTACGAATTGTATAGCAGTAAAATACTTTCTGACCCGGTCAACCTTCCAATTTAGTACCTATACGTATATATCTGTTCACACCTTCTGCCCATAAATGGAATAGTAGATTGCTAGCAGGAAATACTGCCTTAGGAACTTAAATTAGCCATATAGTTTCATACAACTACCGTGTGAATTCATCTAAGAAAATATGAGAAGTTCTAACTGTAGAAAGTCGAAAAGCAAACCTTGTTAAATATAAGATAACAAAGTCAGAGCTGGGACTTTTTAATTTAGATGTTGTAGAAAAATAAATGAAGCATAAAGTAAGATATCAATATCGCTGACGGAGCATTGTCTTCTCATCACCATTGAATAATTTTATTCTTTTTACACCCAAGGAAAGGATGGTCGTGATGGAAGAGACGGGATCAACGCAGGAAACGGAATGAAGGTTGCTCTAGATATTAAACAGGACAAAAGCTTTTTCTGTCATTAACAAAATCGATGATAAATTATTTCTTGGATCAAAGATTAATAAGCCAGAACACCGGACAAAAGGCTAAGATTATTCAAGTTCCCTGCGATCCGAGATGTCAGCTGCCTAAGAAACGCTCTCTAAAAAACCAGTCTATTTTCTGTAGTAAAAGGGAGGGACACAGTACCAGAGTTAGTTTGATCAAATAATTAGTTACATAAGATACAAAATTTCGGTTAAAATATGACGAAATCTCAGCGGTAAGGGCACGCCTTAACTTAAAGGATTACAGAAAAAGAGATCTGAGTCTTCAAGTTTTCTCAACCCCAGATTGGTTTTTGATTGTTTTTCAGGGTCAAAAAGGAGAACGTGGCTCATCAGGAAACAACGCAGGAGGTGTCATTAAGTTTAGCGATACCGCTGAGAAATGTACCGCAAACATCGCCGGCACTGTTAGCTTCAGTACTTCCCAGAAATCGTTGCAACTCTGTGATGGAAGCAATTGGCTGTCAGTGTTGGCTGTTGGAAAAGGTTACACGGCAGATAGACCAGGCCGCCACTGTTTGGATATCTTAAATTCTGGTACGCTTAAACTTTGAAAAAAATTAAGGCGTAAGGCATTTAAAAGTGACCAATTGACACTGATAAGCACCACTTGTACTAACAGCATTATAGACAATAGAACCAAACTCGTTCCCAGTTCCTATGCATTGCTATTTAAGTAATAAAGGACTGTGGACAGTGATGGTTGTTGTAGAGAATACTGGGAGGTACAGAGTAAGTAGCGGCAGGGACTGGGAGACTGGGTAGAAAGCTGTCATTTAAAGACCCACTTTGAAATGAACCTATTAAAGATTATCTTCTTAATCAAAATAAACAATCATTTGAAATAATCTTACAATTACATATTATTTATGATCAGGCCAAAGTCATGGCAGTGGGCTTTACTGGATTGATCCAAACGGTGGCTCGACAAAAGACTCGTTCCAAGCCTTTTGCGACATGGAAACTGAGCGTGGAGGTTGGACCCTGGTTGCCACAAAGGTATCCCCAGGCTTCGTCTTCATCAAATCTGCTTTCTCAACAGTGGCCGCTGCAACTAAGAACAGAGATGCCGCGAGTCACATACATCCAAGCATGGGGAACTGGAAAGAGGTTATGTTCCGCTTTGCTGACGTTGATACTATCCGACTTATTTACAACAGAAAGGCGGGCGCACCAAACAAAGACAAGGAGGAATTCGACAAGTTCTTGATGGGGAAGTCCATGCAGTTGATAAAGCACGTGAATGGATTTTACAAGTACAGTCCAGCAGAAAACAAAAGAAATCCTAGCGTGGGGTTTGCCACCATATCCTCTTTGTACTTCTATTCAAGCCATGGGATCTCAGAAGCTCACAGTGGCACGGATAAGTGGCTTGACATGTGGAGAGGTGCCGAGAGCTCAAACAACTACATCTACAGCGATGACAGCAGGGCGCGGGGCACCAAATGTATTGCGGGCTACTGTTATCTGAACAAACCAATCTGGGTGATGGTGCGTTAGCAAATCCATCAAGCCAATAAACGAGCAGCTAATTACGTGAGAAAGAATTAGATACTTAGGTGTTAACAGGCGATAATAAAGTAGGTTTTAAAACAGACTGCTGCAGTATTAAAAGTTCCAACAATGTTGTCAAGATTAAAACGACCTGATATTAGTCCCGTTAAAAGGACTTCTCGCATCTTGTTCTGACTGCTCATAAAATAAAACTAAAAAGCATTGGCGATTTGGGTGTGTTGTTTATTGGTCGTTTGTTTGTTTGTTTCTAGCTTTGTTTTTTCTCAGAACAACCCTTTTGTTGCTTGGGAGGGGGAAAATTAAGCAAGGGCTAGATTCAGTTCCACTCTAGGCCTGGTGCATCTGTTGTGCGCAAGTTTTTCGAAATGACCTAATCAGAAAAGATTAAAGAACTAAGAATAACGATTGACTGCGTCAGATTAATGACAACTGTGTTGCCTTTTTACATATTTCTTTTTTCGGTTTTTCAAAATAATTCAACGCCAGGACAGGAGAAGTATTTTTTCTAATATGCAAGAAGAAAAAGGACTTTTGATATTATCAAGTATAACATCGAATTTTATCACCATGTGGTACATACTCTTGAGTTGTAAGGATTGGATCAGAAAGTTGGAAAAGCTTATACTGGCTCTTTTTCAAAATCACAACATTTATGTTAGCCGTCTACAGCTATAAAAGACGCGCTTCCTTGTGAATCTCTTTATATTCTTTTAACTTAAGGTGGCTCCGTAATTAATACAAGAGCATTTAGCTGTGACAAATTTTCCGTCGTAACTTTTTCGATTTTAACGCGATGGCTGCGAAACTTTACAAAAAACAACAGATATCATTCCGCAATAAAACGAAATATTCCGATTTCATTGATGGTAAATATTTCTTGAGAAATTAGCGCTTAAAAGGACCCTACTGTTCAAAGAAAATCGCGTCTAGTAAAAAATTTTGCTCATATTTTTTACCCAAATTTCTGGTATCGACTTTAATTGATATAATAAATATGCCAGAGGAATTTCAGAAAAATCGTTGGAGCAGAAGTCTATAACTAAAAGTGGCTCAAAATTCAGCTGTGAAATTGTTTTGGAATTTCAAAAATAAATTACCATCAGGAAGAAGGAGACACCAGTTTGAATTTTCAGGACAAGTAAATTCAGTGATTGCTAATTCTGAAAACAGAAGCCGATTGCCTATCGTGCTATTCTTTAAAAGGTACTTTTCAGTTTTAGAAGC